GCTTTTGCTGTTCTTCCTCTCATCGGTACGTCATGGTTTCGCATGCGAATGACACTTGGAAGTGGTTTGGTTTGGTCTGGTTACCGCTCCCCCCTGCACTGCCATGCACTGCCCTATCCTTCCCTTTGCTTTGCTGTCTTTCAGCTCTGCAAGTGCCACGCCTACGCTGCCAAGCATGGTCGCGACTACAACAACAAATGAACATATTTTTGAACGTTTTTGTTTTGCATTTTTATTACACGCGCACACATGCACACATACATAAACAGGCACTCGAACACACATAAAGAAAAATTCGTTTTGCGGTTTTTATCACACCGAACAGCTTCTCCCACAAGCACCCCGCTCTCTCCCGCTCATTCACTCTCTCTCTCTCTCTCTCTCTCTCTCTCTCGTTCTGCTTTAATTGGAGTCGATGGCGTTATTTATATAAATGTTTGCCATTTCTCTTCGTTCGCCCCGTTTGCATTTCATTTTTTGGCAGTTTAAATTGTAGGCGGCATGTGATATATTGGCCATTCGGCTGGGGTCCTTCGGATCGAGGGAGTCTGTGCTCTGTCCTTTGGCTGGGGAGGGGGGGGGGGGGGTATGGATGCGAGTACGAGCTGCTGGTCTGCTGACCTTGTTCTGTACATAATTTTCAGACAGTTTGGTCAGTTGGTTGAAAGTGTTTTATGGCATGTTGAAAGTTAAAGATACTTTTTGGGGAACACACACCAACAAACGAGATGTGGCATAGGAACACCTTCTGAGAGGGTGGGGACAGATTGTTGTATTTGAAGTACGTAAAAATCACAAAAAATATCAGCATGTATAGTAGAGGATTCATTAGTTACAGCAACTAAAACACTCCACCACCTGGCAGAGCGTGGCCAATCCAATGCAACCTCCCACATCCTGGCACATCCACTCTCAATGACCTCCAGGAATGCTTGGCCAATGTCAAGAGTACCTGGCAAAGCAGACATGTTCCATGTGCGCGTAGTAGGCCCATTAGCTCCTTTCAAAGCCGTGGGGAGGGGGAAGGGAAGGCGAGCAAGTGAAGCCAGCCATAAAACCGTGAAATCACATACAAAACGCATTTAACGCCCCACATCAAGAAAAAAAGAAGAGAGAAAAAGAACATTTTTGGTTTTAATTAAAGAGGAGCAGAACAGAAACAGAAACAGAACGAAAGAATGAAAGAAGAAATGTATCCCGAAGATATTTTAATTTAATGTTAGCTGGAGAGACGCGGTAAGTACTTCCGTTTACAGCTAGACGTGCCCCTGCGGCACATGTGTGTGGAGAGCTCCAACTTCGGCTCCAATGTCAATGCCACACGGAAACAACAGCCACAACAAATTCCCGACTCAATTTCAGAAAATGATTTAACGACTCCATTTGAGCATGAAATTGCAAGGAAGTACAGCGCGAACAGGGTGTCCTGGTGTCCCCTCTTTGGGCTTATTTTGAGTCGAGTGTTTTAAATGGGGAGCAACAAAAAAAAAATACAACAAAAAATACACATATAAAAGAAGAAGGGAAGGTTCTACGTCCTTGGTCCTGGGACAAAAGCCAGTCACCAGCGGCTGAGGCGGCGACCGTGGCAACTTTATCGCTAAGTGGGAAAATCTGTAGGATTTTTTAAGTGCTGCTGCTGCATATGCGGGAAAGGGCATGGGAGGAACAGCGGACAGAAAGACACAAGGAGACAGTTCCCTATTGTCCTGCGATAACTCCCCGTTTCAAGTTCGTGTTGTCTAGGAAAAGGACCTCTGCACGTACCACGTACCCATGTCTATACCCGTTCCCGCTCCCATTTCGTTTTGTTGTTTTCAAGGTGTGCTAAGGAGGCGTTTGTACCAAACAATTTTCATTTACTTTGCGTTTTTAATCATGGTTAAAGGATATGTCAGGCAAGCGCTCGTTATTATATAGACAGGACAAAACGAGACGAGCTGTCTATCCGTCTGGCAGGATGTCAACGCAAATTCAAGTGAAATGATGCACAAGGCAGCAAAAAAAAAAAGGAAAAGAAAAGGAGGAAATAAGAGAGACAAGAAAAAGGATTGCTACCGGATGAATGCACTTCATTTAAAGTAGAAGTAGAAGTAGAAGTAGAATACAAGGAATGCAATGCTCATTGTTAGTCAGTGCCATTGGACAGGGGCATGAGCGTACACAGAAGGCAGCGCCCAAGTCAAGCCCAAAAGGATTACAGACGTCGACGGGGTGTGTACTTGTGCTGTCGATTTTCTCCATATCCATCATAACCATTGCTGATCATGTTTTGGCATATTTGTGGCTTACCCTAAAAGGGTTTCACTCCTCAGGGACTGAAGTTCTAGGGAAAAGTCTGAAAGAAACTTCAGCGGCAGCATTGAGGGAGGTTTTGGCACGCCAACAAGGCAGAGGCACTTTCTTTGAATGCGCGAAAGAAGTCTTCGTCACCCACTCATAGTACAAATAAATTCACCCATATTTAAGTTAAATAATCAGAGTTTAAAATATATTTAAACATTTGATGATTGTTGATTGATTTCGTTGACAAATGTTTGACTGTACATCAAGGACCTACATTCCATGAAGGCAAGCCCACAAATACATCATCTCCTTGGCTGAATAAGAGATCAGGAAATAATCTGTGCATTCTCGGATACACTATCTGCGATTGGGACACTGAGTGACACCCATTGTTACCCCTCGATACTGATCGTTCAAGCGAAAAAGTAGCGGGAAAGGATTATGCGGCTTAGGGCCCGATTCCGATGATGTTTTGCCATACACTCCCAGATATGTTTTGTTTGGCATGCAGTCAAAGGTTAGTCAAACGCAGAACAATGCCTGGCAGAAAGATTCTGAGGAAAACCACAGATAGCGGTACATCATCAGCAGAACACAGACCTCCAGCTGGTTTTCCCTGCCAACGATGATGAAGTTGTTCGCTCCAACTTTGAAGACGCCGCCAAAAGAAAGAGATAGAGAGAGATAGTTCGGGAGTCATTAATTTTGGGCTGGAAAGAGAACTTTCAACAAGTTGTTGTCGCCGTTGCCGTTGGTCAGGGTCGAGGTGGATGTTCTCAGCTATGGCTTTGCCTTTCCTCGTTCTCACAGAAGCGGAGCAAAGACAGAACAGAACGGAGGCTAGGTACACATGCATTTCTATCTAATTAAAACAGGTGTTTTAATTATTGCAGCCATTTAATTTTCCCTCGATGTATGCATGTTTTTCTCCAGTGTTTCCTTTTGCCCCATAAATGCCGACAGTCGGTCTGGCCGCCGCCTGCCTGCCTGCCTGCCCACTTGGCACATTTTACGAGCCTCGAGCCGGCCTCAAAGACCATTAAAAAGTGTTGCACTTTCCGCACCCCAAGTTGCTCATTAGGTGAGAGGAGCCACATATGCGATAGCTCATGCCGTGCTCTAGATATGATGAATTTGGTTTTCTGTTTATTAGACTCGTAAAAATGGCAAACACTGGGCAGGCAGGAGGGTCGCTCCCCTGGTTCTTTATTACTTTGTTTAACCATTTTTTATTGCAATTAGATGGAGGGGAAATGGCTTTAGAACTTTTTGTTTTCCTATCTGCCACTGACACTGCCACTGCCATTGTGTTAATTAGAAGCCAAATGTTTTCCGACAAGTTTTCCTGTGGGTTTGTGTGCCTCTAAAAGCTTAGGGTTTAAAGCAAATTTGAGGGACTTACTGTATGTGGATGGTTTGTGTTTAGTTTGTTAATTAGAGGATTAAACATATTAAATATTTCTGAATAATGTGAATCTCTTTAAGCCATTTCTATGAGAGTTACAAGTACAAGTTTTCGAGTAATCAAATCTTTAATTAAATGCAGTTCTCGTTCTTCCTCAACCTACAGCAATAATCAATTAGGTTGAACTTAAGGAAGGATTGAACTCCATTTAATAACCACTTATGTACTTCTGCGCATTCCATTAACTCATCCTTTCTGTTGCCATAACAATAGGCAGCCCTCAACCCTTTCTCCAACTCGTCATCATTCAATAATTATGGAAAATATACTTTTTGTAGAGCACAAAATTCCACACATTTCAGTAATTACATTGTCAGGGTGCAAGGGCGTGGGGCAAGCTCAATCAGTTGTTATTTTTCCTGGTCCTAATCAATTTTTGAATTAAACAACACAACGAGAAGCAACACTTTGAAATACCATTACCATTTCATACTTAATCAGGTAATAATAACATAAATTAAATAAACAACAACAGCAAAATAGGAACCAGAAAGAGGGGGAAGAAGAGAGTTGTATTTTCTTAAAGGTGAAATGAAGGTGCAAGAGCATCGATGATGTGTGTTAAATTTCACGCGTTACATTTAAGTCATCGCCTCGTAAACAGCTGCTCCCAGGTCCCAGTCGCAATCCCAGTACCCGATTCCGATCCCCGATAAGCCAGAATATTGCAAGTTCATTATACAAACACCAATCAAACATCGAAGACATGGAGGAAAGAGAGCTGGGAGGGAGATATTGGTGGCCGAACAGGTATGAAAATCCAATTAAAGCCGTCAGCCAAATCGGCCGCAACAGTTGTTGGGCCGAAAGGGAAAAACTGCAACCTCACCGCACACTTCTTACTCAATTAGAACAGAAAATTCAAGGGAAATAAATGTCTGTGTGCAAACAAAAATATATTACAAGAAAGTATACGAGAATCGGTGGAAACGTGGGCAGCCAGACCACAGCTCTGAGACTGGGACTGGGACTGGCACTGGGGCTGCTTGACTCCTGCCATGTCGATTTTTCCTCCTAAAAGGCTTGAGTTGATTTTCAAGTGGCCCGGCAACTGTGGCACTTGAAATGTGTGTTTCTTTCTTTCGCATTCTTCACCTGTCAAGGTACGGCAGTAGTCGGACGCTTCTCGGACTCCGACTTTGAGTAGAACTCCACAGAGCTACAGAGCTACAGAGCTACAGAGCTCCAGGAAAGTGCAATAAGAACGTCTAAAACCTCACACTTCAAAACTTTAGCCGAAACATCAAAGTTGACGTACACAATGGCCATTGATGTGATACAACTCGAGTGCAAAGAAAACAAAACTCGAAACCCTAGTGGTGGTAGTAGTCAGTCTTGTGCCAGCAGCCTCAACATCTGTGTGGAGAGATGGTGTGGAGGCGGAGGCGGAGGAACCTCACCACACAGATACACAGACTTCGGTCGTCTTCGTTGGCGGTGGCTTCAATGTTGTGTCGTCAGCCTCAACAAGCGTAAAATATTCTCAGAAATGCAACAACTTTGGCTACGGCTTCAGCAGCAGCGACAGCAGCAGCGACAGCAGCAGCCTTTTGGCAACATTTCGACAGGGACAGGAGCGCTGCGGGCCCAACTGGGGGCACAGAAAAGTATAAGCCTTAATTCGAGACAACATTTTAAGGGATTGGCAATGATTTCCTTCGAGTTAAGGCTACTACAGGTTCCGATTAAGTCCGGTGGCCGACAATAACTTTCCTTGGGGGTCGCCTGGCTTCACGCTATACGTGGGCCTGATAATGATAAAGGTAATCACCAGATTGTCATCCACATTCATGATGGCCCCCGCATTGTCGAATTGCCCGGCGTAGTTCGGGGCCGAGAAGATGGTGATCAGCTGGCGGGAGAAGAAATCGTAGCCATCCTCCACCACCTGATGAGCTCGAACAATCATGTCGACCTTCATCCGCTTGCAAAACAGATTCACAACGTCATGCCCGAAGGTGTAGCTCACACCGCGCTCATTCTCGCCCCAACCCTGGGTCTTTTCATCCGGATCGGACCACAAAAGATCGCACACGAGTCCCACATCGGGCACCTCCAACGGCCGCTCCACTTCCGCTATATCGTTCAGGCAGGTCATTCTCGGACTAATGCCTCCGTGTGCGCAGAATATCTTCTTCCCCACAACGGCCGCCAGGGGCATGCAGTCGTAGGCGGAGACAAAACTCCTGAAAAGATTGACGGAATATCGCCGCGTGCACTCGTCGAAGAACCCATAGACGCGATTCATCCTGGCGCACTCGTGATTGCCGCGTACCAGATACATGTTCTTCGGATAGCGCACCTTGTAGGCCAACAGCAGGGTAAGGGTCTCCACGGACAGCTGGCCACGGTCCACATAGTCGCCCAGAAAGAGGTACCTGAACACATCGGACTGGTTAGAGTTGATCTCTGTGGAAGTTAGGACTTGGACCTACTTTTCTTTTGGTACATGTCCGCCCAAATGAAAGATCCTCAAGAGATCGGAGAACTGTCCATGGATGTCGCCGCAGATCTTTAGCGGTGGCTTCAGCCTCAGTAGGCTCTCCTCCTCCAGGAGAGACCTGCGGGCGTAATGGCAGACAAATCGGATCTGATTCTCGGGCAATTGCAAGCCGTTGTGGGGATTATCACATTTGATCAATCGATCGATTATGGAATCCATATTGCTATTTAATACTGCGTCCTCACTGTGGCCTACATCCGAAGTTGGAGTGCTCATATTTGTGGCAAGAATTTTAAAATTTACACAAAAATCAAATGAAAATGTTCGGGCCTCTTCGTGTGACTTCTGTTGCTGTGGGCTCTATGGCGACCCCATTCCCACATTAACCGCTACCGTTTCATTACCTAATTTCTTCTTCCTGCATTAGAACAACATTCGATGGACGACAACAAGATTGCCAACGACAGCACGATGCAGACTTTGTCCCCCAAACCACATCCACAGTCAGAGGCAGCTCAGTCCGTTCTATTCCGTTTGTATCGCATCTATCGGAGGAGCACTTAACATTTTGGGCTCTGGTTGCATGTTTCGTCGTGTGCTGAATGTTGCATAAATAAAGCGCAGATCACACGCAAACAAAGCTGAAGCTGAAGCTACCAGCTACACCAGCCCTAACTGAAGCAGCAGCAGCAACCTCCACCACAACGGACTCCGACACGGACACGGACACGGACACGGACAACATCAAAGTGTTGACTTGACATTTTGAACGACATTTAACCTGTTTAGCAGAAGCGTCCGAAAGCCGAATCGAAGCCTTTCTGGCCAGAACCCGAGCTGTAGTTGTGCGGCTCTCTATCTGGAGCCGGAGCTGAAACAAACCAAATCAAACAAGCGTAGCCAAAGCCAAGTCAGCGTGCCATGGCAGTTGGTCGCATCATAGCCAGAGCTTTAGCCGGGCAATGGCCAGGGCTACGAGTGGGGAGGTGGCAACTGTATGGCTATGGCTATGGCTATGGCTATGGGTATGGGATGGGGCAAATGAAACCAGCGAAGCAAACAACATGCTATGCTGCAATCCGAATGACTGCACGCTGTTTGTCAATGCCCTTTCCCTGGCGCAACACACACCGCAGAGCCATCAAGCCAGAGCAAGCACTGACCCATTAACTGACCATTAGACGGGGTCCAAGCAGGCTCTGTGGGCGCTACTAGCAGGAGGTATCATCATCAAACTGAATTCAGACAAGTTATCTGATTATAATATTTATGATCCCTAGACGACATATTATGACTGATATGTTTGAGAATATTTAATCGATTAATGGTTGAATATTTAGTTGAAATCTTCATGGAGTTTTACTTCAAAGGGAATGAAATATCCCTAAAAATCTGAGAGTTTCTTCCTAGTTCTCCCCCAAAACTGAGTTCAACCGATTAGGGTATTTTGAGTGTGCTTTATGTGTGAGTATGTGGCACCACCGTTTACCTTGTTCTGTGCCACTGCCACTGCCGCTGCTGTATTCTAGTGATGATGACGCCGATTCGTTTTGGGGCATGTTGTTGACTCGCCTGGCTGGATGGGGCTGTGCGGATGTTGGCCTGGTTGCTGGCTGGGTCGCTGGTTGTGTTTGAGCTGTTGTTAATTTTCCTAAAATCAAAGCACAAAACTCACAGGAAATGTAAACCGTTTTGTGGTAATTCAAAACACGACGACACAACTGAAACTGGAACACAGTTTACAAGAAATTGCATTTGCCTTTGCCCTGTGCCCTGTACCCCGTTCGAACAACTCAGCCAAAACTCTTACGATCGCACAGAGATGCAGGGCTTAGTGTCTCTTGTTGGCTTTATGTGTTCATCGTCTTAAGTCAAATTAAAATATTAAAATTTATGAACGAGCGGCAGACAAAAAATTGTATCTGCGCAAATGTTTGCCAGGGCTTGATTATAGCTCTGCTCTCCGCACAAAAAAAATAAGGAGGAGGAAGAAAATAAACCCCAAAGAAGAGTGCATCTTGCAACGTGCATCTCGTTGCTGCGAGGGAGGAGCACCGCGAGGAGCAGAGGAACCTGCTTAAAACGAAACCTGGCCTCGTCCGCATTCGCGTCTGCCTCCGATGTGGCGCAGATGATAAATAATCCACGCAAAGCCGGGCGTCCTCCTCCATGGCTCATCCGGCAGGTGCAAATCGCATGTGACAGGCAGACACTTAACTTTTGTACTCCGAGAGTGGCCCCATGTACTCGAGAGTCTGCTGCTGCTGCTGCTGCTGCTGCTGCTGGACTTCCCTGCCAATGCAAACACGTTCATAAGTCCAAGCTGACCAACCAGGAGGCGACTCCGCTCTGGCAGGAGAGCCTTCGCTCAGCCCGGTCATTTTTTATCGCATGTTAATCACAACCTTGTGGAACTTTGTTTGCCTTGGCTGGCAGCCCGCCAGGGCCCTGCTCTCCTGGTTAAGCTCTTGGCCTCTACAAAACCCTTTTTTTGTAGCGCTGGAATTTGTTTTTTGTTTTTACATTTATGGCTACACTTTTGCAGCAGAGGGTTCCATAGACTCGTTGGAGTTTTTCGTAATGTATTTTTGAGTTTTCGTTGAGTAAATCTTATGGAAAGTCCGTGGAAAAGTCAGTCGTTCCATGCTAATCCCATTCTGTGCTATGTTAGGGTATTCTATGACTCAACTCCATCCCCGAACCATTCTTGTTTGATTTTCTTCCTCGTTTTTTGTTGTTGTTGCTTTTGTATGCATATTTCCAGATGCTTGCCGCCTGGTGCTGGTGCTGGTGCTGTGTGTTGGCTTTGCTTCTCATAGACTTGAGCCTGGTCTAAGTGAATGCAATTAAAATTGACGTTAATCTGCTGGAATTCTGATGTTTTGTCATGTTTGCGCGCTAAAGATGTTATTTTGTTTTGACATGCTCTTGGCCGGGCCAGGCCAGGATAGACCAGGGACCTAGGACAACACACAGAGCCAGAGACAGAGACAGAGACAGACACATAGACAGAGCAAACATCCATGCAACAATGTCTGCAGAGGCAACAAGGAGTCATCCAGAGGCAGAGTCCACCAAAGTGGAAGTCTGTCTCGGACTCCAAGTCTCCTTCTCTGGCTCTGACTCTGACTCTGACTCTGACTCTGTGTTGTCGTGTACATGTAGATCAATCTATCTAACTAACGCGTTTGGTGTTTGCCTGGCTCTGCCACTGTCTCCGCTCCGCTCCGCTCCGCTCCTCTCCTGACCTGTCCTGTCCTGCCCTGTCCCATCCTCCCAGAGGAGTCCATGGCCATGGCTTGTTATTTAAATTGTTATATTATTTGTGGCTGGCTAAGCTTGGGAACCCGGCTCGTCGGCTTTGGCTTGTTATGGCTTAACTTTAATCGAATTCGTCTGGCGTCGCGTCGCTCTTTCAGTTCAGCAGCTCCCTGCTGATGCTCTCTGCTGCTGCTGTTGGTCTGTGTTGGCCAGGTCTGATCGGCTCTGGCCTGGTCTGCTTGCCCTTTTATGGCCTGTTTTGTAGTGTCTTAAAGACATGCAGTTAATGTTTATGATTGCTTACTTAAATCACTTATTAAATGCTTTTCCCCTCTGGTTTTATTGTCTAGCTATAAATAAACTCCAGCCGATGGACATTGGCCATTAGAAGCAGAGGCTTTGGGGGCACCTAAGGATACATTTCAATATTTCTAGGGATTGCAATCAATACAAAACCATCAGCTTTAAGTATTTAAATTCAACTTTACAACTGTTTTGTTCTTCCTAAGATTGAATACCTATTTATAGCTTATTAAATTCTTTCTTAATTCCTTATTTGATCTATTAGGCCCTTAATTTGGTAGCTAATTATATCTGTAATAAGCTATGCCATCGAGCCTAATCGAAAATGCATTTATTCATAAATTGAGGATCAGTAAGTGGAGATACATAGGGAAATTATAGGGAAATAATAGGGAAACACATTTAAAAATATTAAATAATTACAAATAAATCAATTATACCATATTTGTGGAATAGAAAAAAGGACATATATAAATACGTAATGGATTCATTTTTGTTATGAAATAAATTTAAATAAAATATTAGCAAATTAAGCAAAGTCTTGATGTAATTGCAATAATTCTTATAATATTTCTTTATTCTTTAAATAGATATTACTATTCTTATACTCACCCATTAAAGCCCCTTCAGTAGTGAATCCAATCCGTCTCGTTATGATGGTTTCTGATTATTCAATTCGCCCTCTTCCATGCGATAAAAGTATTTTGTTCATAATTTAACTCCAGTTGGACAAACGTAAAAACTAATTGCCTATAACAAATATCAAGAGTTGCTCTGGAACATCCACTCATTTGCAATAGTTTCAACAATAATTCATTGGCATTTCCCCTCCCCGTCTAAGAATGTTCTGCTTTATTTCGAATTTACCCTGACTACATTTGTATTGCCCTGGAGACGGCTCCTGGCAGACTTGGCCATTCTTGGGCCACACATTACCCTCTCCTCCTCTGAAAAGAAAGAAAAGAAAAGAAAGCATGGCTGAGCAGCTATAAATCTCGAGCGACTATCTCAGTGCACACACACTTTTAGCCATTATTACTGCAACATTAAGACACCCAAATGGCCAGGCTTTTGTTGCTGTTGGCAGATCCCAAAGCCAGATGCCAGCCAGGCCATAACTGCCATTAACATTGGCACTTAATTTACTCTGGGCCAGAGCCAAAGCCAAAGCCAAAACCGAAAACCTAAAAACTCAAACCCAAAACCAGAACCAGAACAAACGCAAACACGAGCGAGCTGGGCAAACCAGAAGCGAATACGCAGCACAAAATGACGCACTGCTATCTTATTATGTTTGGCCAACAATAAGGAGAGCCACCAAAAAGATACAACAGAAAATAAAAACATATACAGGGGGGGACGACGACGACGACGAACAACAATTAAAACCATTCTCAAGCAGCCAAACAAACGGAATGGAATCCGCTGGGAGGGAGGTGGAAAGTCACATTCCCATTGTCCGGCAAACCTCCTGTGCTTATTTATTGGCGTCCTACCCAGTCCTGGTCCAGTCTATACGGTCTACACAGTCCAGCCAGCCACATTGTTTGCCCGGCGGAGTGAGGCCAAGAAAAAGGAAAGTAAACCAGGCAAAAAGGCCACCAAATAAGATAGGAAGAAAGTAGCTCAATCTCTTTCACTCTAGCTGTGTGTGTGCTTGGGGTATGTTTTAACAATTTTCAATTTTAGCTTTGTTCTCCAAAGCAAACAATAAGAGAAATACTGTGGTCAAGACACGCTGGACCATGGA